AGCAGGACAGGCTCTTCAACGTCAGGGAGGGAAAGGCACATACAGTCTCGAAGAGATGGAAAATCTCAAGACGTTGAATCGACTACAGGAAGTCAAACGTCCACAGATCACGAATGCTCATGACCCTAAACCCGAAACTCGGGAGCACGAGTTGACCCAAACACGGGATATAGCCAAACCCGGAATGAAGCGTATGGCCCCGGTTATTACTCGATCCCGGGACGCAGTAAACCGATCGACGACCACGCGAAAGCCGGACGTTCTGCAGGAACTTGTAGTGCAACGGATCCGTTTGGACCGCGTCCGCGTGGCACAAGAAGAGGAGCTCTGGATATCCAACCTGAAGCAATTCCTGGAAGGGAATATCGGCGAGCTCTCGAAACGCGAGGTGCAAGACTGTGTCAAACTCGCGAGCCAGTACGAGGTGGGGGAAAGTGGGCTGCTGTACTACCATGTGCAGAGAAACGAGTCGGCCGAAGACCCATGAAGATCGTGGTTCCGGAGACACTTCGTAATGATATACTGCACCACTACTACGCGAGTTTGGAAGGTGGGCACCAAGGCATAGGCCGAACCTACCAGCGCGTCCGGCAACATTTCCATTGGCCGGGCCTGTTCAGAAGCGTGCAACGCCACGTGGGAGAATGTACGGATTGCGAGACCGGGAAGGGAAGGCCGACAATCCAAGGGGAGTCACCCGGGAACATCGTCGCGACGTACCCATTCCAGGTCATAGCGATGGAACATATCCCGTCGTTGCCCGCGTCGCACAAGGGAAACACGGAGCTGCTGGTATGGGTGGACCTATTCACGGGTTTTGTCATAGCGAAAGCGAGCGCGTCGCGGACTGCGCAGACCGTCGCCGAGTCGTACGAAGAGGCCGTGTTTCGACGTTTCGGTGCTAGTGAGGCCATTCGTCACGATCAAGGTTTCATGTCAGACTTCTTCCGAGTTATTAACAGGCTCATGGGACAGAGGCAACGCGCGACCTTGGCGTACCGGCCACAAGCAAATGGGGCTGCCGAGCGTATGGTTCAGACCATCACGCGTGCTATCAAGATGTACATCGCGGACGTCGAACAACGCGACTGGGATGAGTACGCAGAGAGGCTCACCTACGCCCTGAACACGGCCCACGACAGGACTCGGGACGAGACACCGTTCTTTTTGGTCCACGGCTGGGACCCACGATCCACGCTCGAAGCGACGTTGGCGGTGGGCAACACGTCGACACGTAATGTAGAAGCCCGTCGTTGGAGATTGCGAATTCAACGCCATTACAAGATCCGCAAGGCTGTCGAAACCCGGGCCCGACGTCAGAACGAACGGGCGACGGAGCACGCGATCTCCGAGGGATCCCAAGTCTGGCTCTATCTTGACCGCGTCAAGCCCGGCTACGCGCGCAAACTGGCGCACATGTGGCATGGCCCGTTCCGCGTGGCGGAGTTGGTAAACACATACGCTGCGCGATTGGATACGAGTGACACCCCGTACCAACTATTCCCGATTGTACACCTGTCCAAGTTGAAACCCGTGCGCAAATTTCCGTCGAGACCTTAGTTACGTCTGACCGTGCTGTCGGACGAGCGTTTTGATTTCGACGAGGAGCTACTCCCGGAAGATAGCTGGGAGGCATGAGAGTTAGACGACGGAATATGCGAAGTGGAGAGAATCCTGAACGTACGAGAAGGGCGAGTCACGAGGTACGGACGAGCGAGGCGTGAGTTCAAGGTGAAGTGGAAGGGATACCCGGACGCGAGTTGGGTCGATGATCTGGACTTGAACTGCGGTGGACTGGTGTACGACTTCCTGCGACAGCGCACAGGTCAAAATCACTTCGAAGTGATGCAGTCTCACGAAGACGCATCAGCAGAAGATTGACGCGAGCGAACGTCGAAGTCGGTGGGAGGGCCACCGATGGGAGTAAGGAGGAATTGAGCTCCGGGAGTGACACAAAAAAATGGAAGAAGGAGAGCCGGCTAATGAGCCGAAGATAGGGCGACGAGGGGTCGTTCTATAAAAAACAAGGATAACGGAACGATGGGGAAGAGATTAAAGGTGAAAGCTCGTTACCTTAACAGAAACTAGAGACCCGCTAGCTAGGGGCTACCACGCTCGATG